GACTATAACTTTACTTAAGATTTTATTTATATATCTGTTTTGGTAGGGGGTAGCACATGCATGAACGGGGGGACGGGGAAGGGCAGAGGGAGAGAATCCTAAGCAGACTTCACATTGAGCACAGAGCCTGAGGTGGGACTTATCCCACGACACTGAGATCATGACTTGAGTTGAAATCAAGAATCCGAAGCTCAACCAACTGAGCCACCCAAGTGCCCCAAGACCATGACTTTAAAATAGTTAAGAGGGACGCCTGTGTAGCTCAGGCGGTTGAGCTTCTGCCTTTGCCTCAGGTCGTGATCCTGAGACAGAGTCCTGCATTGGCCTCCTGTGGGGAGCCAGCTTCTCCCTCTGCCTATGTCTCTGTCTCTCGTGAATAAATAAAAAAATTTTTTTTTTAAAAAAGTTAAGATTTACATTTTCAGAAAATTGAGGAAAAATGGAGAATTTCACCAGAAAACTGGCATCTTAAAAAAGAATGGATTTTTGCTTCAGAAATCAAGTGAAAGTAGGTGTAGTTTTCCTAGTAAGTACACCTAACAATTCTGGACATTATAAGCAAAACAACACCGAAAGATTCAGAAAGGTGGCCAGAAGAAGGCAGACTGGCTACGGACCACAAAGAACACAAGAAGACAAGAGTTCTAAGAAGCTAGTAACCCAAAAATGCCAACGAGCACATATTTTTTAAAAAGTCCCAATAAAGGGATCCCTGGGTGGCACAGCGGTTTGGCGCCTGCCTTTGGCCCAGGGCGCGATCCTAGAGATCCGGGATCGAATCCCACGTCGGGCTCCCGGTGCATGGAGCGTACTTCTCCCTCTGCCTGTGTCTCTGCCTCTCTCTCTCTCTCTCTCTATGTGACTATCATAAATTTAAAAAAAAAAAAAATTTAAAAAAAAGTCCCAATAAAAGCCTGCTTTGTCAGCCACAGGAAAGAAGTAACCCAGTAGGACAGAAATTTTCAGACAGTAACTACACCAGCAAAGGCTGAGTGGGGAAGCCTAGACTTCCACTCTTCAGAGGCTGAAACATGGTGTTTGCTTACAATGTCACGGATGCACGCCAGCCTGCAAACAGCTTGTTGTTAGTTGTGACAAAAAGATAAATCAATTAATTCTTAACAGTTTAATTAAGCTGACATTTTTTCCTCATAGCAAGAGCTTTGCTGAGAGCAACAATGTGTTGGTTCAGTGCAGTACATATTGTTTATCCTGTCACTACTGACACTTTGAGTAAAATGCTTTAGAGTCACCTTTACAAGAGTATTAAGTGAATATAAAATAAACAAGTGGGCAGCCCCGGTGGCACAGTGGTTTAGTCCCACGTTGTGCTCCCTGCATGGAGCCTGCTTCTCCCTCTGCCTGTGTCTCTGCCGCACACCCCCCACCCCCTCGTCGCTCATAAATAAATAAATAAAATCTTAAAAAATAAAATAAAATAAACAAGTTAGTAAGGGGGAGGGAGGAATTACTATTTAATCCAAGAGAAGGTAAGAAGGAAGAGAAAAAGAAACAAAATAGATGGTTCAAACAGAAAAAAATCATAATGTGGCAAATATAAAGCCAAATATATTAGTGATTATATTAAATGAGCAATAATTTGGTTACATCATCAGGAGTATCAGATTGGGTAAACAAAACGTAAATACATGCTTTAAAAAAGTGACATAAGTTTAATATAACTGTACAAAAAAGTAAAAATGTGGAGTGTTTGGGTGGCTCCCGGCTTGGGAGTTGGTTACGTGTCCAACTGTTGATTTCAGCTCAAGCCATGATCTCAGGATTGTGAGATCGAGCCCCATGTTGGGCTCTGTGCTCAGTGTGGAGTCTGCTTGAGATTCTCTACTCCTCCCTCTAACCCTCCCTCCACTCCCCACTCTCTCTTTAAAAAAAAAAAAAGTAAAAAATGTTAACAATGGAAAAGACAATACTATGCAAACACTAACCAAAAGAAAGGAGTTGTTGCTGTAATATCAGATAAATTATTACTTCAAGTCAGAAGCATTATCTGAGATGAAAAAAGATAACTTAAAATGATAAAAGGGTTAATTAATCTAGGAAATATAATTCTATATTTGTATGTACTTAATCACATAAAGATATATAAAGCAGATAGATAAAAACAGAACTAAAAGGGGAAAGACAAATCCAACAATCACATTGGGAGACTCTTAAGATTCTTTAATAGTTGACGGAACAAGTAGACAGGAAATTAGTTAAGTACATAAGACTTATACAAAGAAAATAAACAAACTTGACCTAAGGGACATATAGAAACACTGCACCCAATAGTAAGAGAACATATATTATTTTCAAGTCCACATGGGACATTTACCAAACTGAAAACATTCTGGGCCATGAAGCTAGACTCAACAAAGAACTGATATCAGCATTTTCTCTGACCCCAGTGAAATTGAGCTAGAATACATAACAAAATAATTAGAAAATGTCTAAGTGTTTTGAAATTTAGCAATATATTTCTAAGAAGTGTAATCACAAAAAAGAACAAATGGATCAAGGAAAAGATCATGAAGGAACTCAGTACATTTTTGAACTATATAATAAAAATAGGATATAGTAAAATTGTGAGGTGTAGCTAATATTATGCTTAGATGGAAAATTGGAAAATTAGACCTTAAATGCACTTACCAGAAAAAAAGGCTGAAAGCCAACAATTTAAACATCTATCTCAAGAAACTACAGAAAGTATGGCAGTCATCATGTGGTGAATAAAAGCAGGAATCTTTCTCATTCCTGATCTCAGGGGAAAAGCTCTTAATGGTCAGTATTAAGTACAATGTTTGCTTTAGATTTTTATTTTTTGTTTTGTTCTTAGGTACTCTATTACATTAAAGTTCTTTTTCATTCCCAGGTATGACGTATTTTTTTGTTTTAAATTATGAATGAGTGTCTAATATTCATTAATTCAGAAAAAGCATTTGATATAATTTTTTTCTATTAGTAAGGTAAGTTATGCCAACTGATTTTTCCCCTCAAATGTTATACTATTCATAACTTGGTTATGATGTACTACCCTTTTTCTTTTTTTTTTCTTTTTTAAGATTTATTTATTTTTTCATGAGAGACACACAGAGAGAGAGAGGCAGAGACACAGACAGAGGGAGAAGCAGGCTCCACGCAGGGAGCCTGATATGGGACTTGATCCCGCGGCTCCAGGATTACGCCCTGGGCCGAAGGCAGGCACTAGACTGCTGAGCCACCCAGGGATCCCCGATTACCCTTTTTCTATATTACTTGATTTGATTTGTGCAAGCTCACCTGTGAGAAAGATCAGATGGTAATTTTTTTGTAAATTGCTTTATTGGGTTTTGGTATGAAGTAACAGAGAACTCAATTAAATTGGCCAGTATAGTCTCTTTCTTTCTTTTCTGAAAAAATTTATGTCTTGTAGGGATCGTTGCATCAGCTAATTAGGTTCTTCACACTCATTTTTGCCCCCTGTCAATTTGTTCTCCAAATTACAAACAGCATGATCTTGGGATGCCTGGGTAGCTCAGCAGTTTAGTGCTTGCCTTCGGCCCAGGGAGTAATCCTGGAGTCCCAGGATGGAGTCCCACATTGGGCTCCCTGAGTGGAGCCTGCTTCTACCTCTGCCTGTGTCTCTGCCTCTCTCTGTGTCTCTCATGAATGAATACATAAAGTCTTTAAAAAAAAAAAAAAGCATGATCTTTTAAAAATCACAAACATGATGATGTAAGTGACGCTTAAAACTCAATGTTTTCCCATCCTCTTCAGATAAAAATCAAAATCCTTCACTAGGCCTATAATACCTCAGTGTGGATAAAAACAGCTTCAACTGTACTAGAATATATCTTTGAACATAAAGGTAACCTGGGGAAAAATACTCGTTAAAAACAAATGAACAAAAAAACTGGAAAATGTACCTTGTAGGAAAATAACCTCAGAATACTCTTAAATTTGTACAATTTGGCACCTGCCTTCATTTCTGATCTCATTTTATTCCATGTTCAAGGATCTTCAACTGTGCTAGCTTTGTTTCCTGGATAAGAACTTTATTTCAGCACTTCTCAAGTGCTGGTCCCTTTAAATGAACTTTCCTTCATATGCCCACATAAAGGTGCCTTCCCCCACAGAATTTCTATCTGCACTTTGGGAAAAGATCAGATCTCTCTATTCTCTCTCAAAACAACCAAATTATTGTTTTCATTATAATTTTAATGAACCAGTTCTATGAGTCTTTCTCATTATTTTAAGTTCCATGAGGGCAAGGACTGCATCTTTTTTTTGTTTTTGTTCACCATTGTATTCCCAAAGCTTAGAATTGTGCCCAATAAATCACAGATGCTCAATACATTTTTGTTAAATAATAAATTAAATATGCATTTTAATTACTGAATAGCACAAAAATATAGTGATGTCTCCCTGAGGAACTAGTAAAACTTAGTACAAGATGAGCCATAATCATTGTGATTCTATTGCCTTAGCTACCCTTTCCCTTATTGGGTGGGTGGTGGGGCGGGGAGCTTCCTAAAATGTGAGATTCTATATAATATGCTGTTTCTAATGGATAAATTTGTTAAACCAATCAGCTTAATTTTTAACTCACCAGTTCAAAACCTCAGGGAAGTAGTATTAGAACATACAGATTAAGTTTAAATGACTTTTTTGTCTCTAGATTACATACTGAAGGCTATGTTCTAGCATGGTCAAAAGTGTCTCAAGTCCCAACACCCGTTAATAAAATATTATTCTATTCAGGAATATATAGATCTTCATTTTCTATTATTTTAAGACTTTAATTTTTGTCAATGACAAACAAGAAAGTTCTTCTAAGTCTTTTAGTACTTACAAGTGAAGGGACCGTGAATATCTGAACCGAGAGGTCTGCGATTGAAAACTCTCTGTCGTGGTCATCTGTCACATAATCACTCTGCAAACGCTCATAGTTCTATTAAGAAGGCAAAAAAAGGCAAGGAGTGCCAGCTATCAGTTACAAAGAAAAGGCAAGCACTACTCACCAGAGTAGGTGCGGTGAAGAACTGGACAGACAGAGCAGTCACGGACACTGCTCGCTCGTGATCATCCTCCATAAAATCTCTCTGCAACTGCTGGTAATTCTAAACAACAAGGGGGAGATTCACCTCTAATCCATAATGACCAAATGTTTTAAGGATCATAATGAAAAGTCAGTGCTGGAGGAGTCAACAACATAACACTGCTATGAGAATGGTAACTGAAATGACTTCTACCAATTAAATTTTGTATGAATATTGATTTCCTATACAACTTTCTTGAGCACCATGGCAATTTATGAGCTCAAATAGGAGTAACAGCTTCTAAAATCCTGGGATGTTCTTATAGGGCTAAACCACAGCAGCTTTACATGGTCTCTGATGAAACCGGACTTTTATTTCTATCAGAAATATTTATTTATTTATTTTATTTATATCAGAATCACTTGATGTTTTTTTCAAGGTGCACATGCTTGGTGCATCTGCTTCATTGAGAACAGGACACACACACACACACACACACACACACACACACAAAATATATATATATATATATATATATATTTTGTTTTTGTTTTTGAAAGAGCCCCCCATATGATCCTTATATGCTTCCTAATTAAGAACTTCTAGTTCAGGTGAATAAAAAAAATAAACACATATTACAAGAAGGGAGAAGAACATAATTTAACAATATCAATAACCAAGATTCCAAGATTTTTAAATCACATCCATATATACATGTCACTTCAGCTAAGACTATCTTTTCCTTATACAAATTTTAATGGGAATAATACCATAATTCACAATGGCACAGGTTTAAATTCTTCATTTATCATTTCATATTATATAGATTTCACAGCTGGATATCTGTATTATTATGGCAGGTGACGAAAAGAAAAGTCTTACTGCTGGAATTTTACTTTATTGATAAAAGATAAAAAGATCATCTATTGAAGTTTCTTAGAATTTAAAATCAATACAGTGACATAAAACTATTAGTTGCTAATATTATAAAGCCTGGATATAATAATGGATTATATTTATTCTGAATATAGCCTATTTTGTTAAAAAATATAAATTTTGTTAAAAAATATAAAACTGAGAGACTACCTACCTTTGCAAATCGAATAGCAAACAACTTCTTATATTTCAAATCCATAAGTAGACTGCTCATAAACAACTGATGATACACACTCCTAGCACCTTTTACAAACAGAGCAGATGTAAAATAAGGATGTATCAACAAGCCAAAAATTACATTTTCAAAGTTTTTATACTCTCAATTGTATTTTAAGTCTCAAGAGCAAAACTCTACAATTGCAATCTGCTCCTTAAAAATTTAGTTTTTCTAAAAAAAGTTTTCTAACAACAAAAAAAAGAAGCTTATTTAATTTGGGTTACGGACTCTAAAATCTGTTTTTTTTCCAAAGAATAAGACTAATGAGCTAATTGTAAAAACTATATTTATTAAATACCTCTCCAAATGGGGGGAAAAATGCCTTTTCCAATTACCTAAAAGTGGTTAAAAGATTACCTTTCCACAATTTGGAATCATTAAGCATCAATCTATCCACTAGAGACGAGTTTTCGCCATCTGGCCCTTCTTGTAAACCAACTTGACATAAAATTCGGCGAAGCCCATCTTAAAACAGGAAGAAAAGTAGTCATGAAATAGGAACTTCAAGTATTAAAATAAAATGACATTTTAAGAGAAATGTTCCAACAAATCTATAGTTTTACATGTTTACTAATGGTCAAATTTACTCAGAAAAAGTAAACATATTAACTATTTTATTAACATTTTCACAAAAAAGAAAAATTCTAAATCTTGCATTATATACTAACACTTATTCTAGAATACCAAAATATAAGCCTATCAGAAAGGCAATGACCTCTTATGTTATAAAGAATTTAAGTACATATGCTAAATAAACCACATTATAATAAAATTGTTACATCCCATGATAACTGAAGGCAGGCATAATAACTGTGCTACCATTTAAAAAAAAGAACGCATGGCCTCTATACTATAATACAGACCAGTCCATTTATCAGTGTTATGCAAAATGTTCCCACTCATTTAGCAAACGTTCCCTGTAAACCTCTGTGTGGCTACTATGTGAAATGTCCTGGAAGACAAATTCCTACATCTTCTAAATGCTGAACATAAAAAATGTTCTTCAAATATTAACAAAAGCATTAGCATAACCAAAACTTTAATACCTTTTTATTTCATATGTTAAAACTAAAATCACTCTTTTTAGTCTTTTATAAGCAGGCAAAATAATCAGACAAAAATAGAGCAATTTTAAAACTACAAAAGCCACCAAACAGGAATTGTTTACAAGGCTAAAGAGAAATACTTATATAAGTATTAATTAAGAGACAAGGTTTTTTTTTTTTTAATTTTATTTATTCATTAATGAGAGACACAGAGAGAGAGGCAGAGACATAGGAAGAGGAAGGAGAAGCAGGCTCCATGCAAAGAGCCCGGTGCGGGACTCAATCCCGGGACTCCGGGATCATACCATGAGCCAAAGGCAGACGCTCAACTGCTAAGCCACCCAGGCGTCCCAAGACAAGGTCTTTAAATAATTAGTGATAAATATCTCAAAAATATTTTTGGCAGAAAATTGCTTCCAGGATACTATTCATTACTACTGTAGAAGAGAACTTGGTGCACAAGATATATCCAATGGAAAACACTAAAACTAAAAAGATAGGAGGGTAAGAAAAATAATTGGAGAGACATTTAAAAAGCAAGCAAACACAGTCTCCTAAATTTCCAAAACTCCACATTTTTTTCAATTGTCCGTTCACAATGTGGCAATGCTCTCTTAATACAAATATTTTAGAAGTTCTCTCTCTCTCTTTTTTTTTTTTTTTTATGATAGTCACAGAGAGAGAGAGAGAGGCAGAGACACAGGCGGAGGGAGAAGCAGGCTCCATGCACCGGGAGCCTGATGTGGGATTCGATCCAGGGTCTCCAGGATCACGCCCTGGGCCAAAGGCAGGCGCCAAACCGCTGCGCCACCCAGGGATCCCAGAAGTTCTCTTTATAATAAACACCAGAATGTCATTTATCCAAGCCACCTCTCTTGCTTTCTAAAGAAAGTATGACAGATAGCTTAATCTATTCCTAATTTTCTCTTTAGTGTTATATTTTATACACCACACTTGTATTTCTGGCATTAGCCATGTGATTCTTTGTTCCGTTACCACATTAAAAAGATTATCTAATTTGTGGAATATGGAAAAACATAAATACCAAATACAAATCCAGAACTTCAAATTTGCAAGTTTAGAGTTACAAATTATTGGTAACCAAAAGTTGGAGGAGTCAAAACAAAGGTATCAACATTAGTGTTGTACCTTTTAAACTGCTAATCATTTAGGTTTAATTTACAGTAGTATTTTCCAGCTTGCTCAGTGGAACAGAGTTCCATGGAATGCTGTTTTATTTTCATTTTATTTTTTTAAAGATTTTATTCATTTCAGAAAAAAGAAAAGAGAGCACTAGAGAGACAGAGCAAGCATGAGTGGTGGAGGGCAAGGGAAAGGGAGAAGCAGGCTCTCCACTGAGGAGGGAACCTGATGCAGGGCTTGATTCCAGGACCCGGGATCATGACCTGAGCCAAAGGCAGACGCTTAACCAATGAGCCACCCAGGGCCCCCAGAATGCTGTTTTTTTTAAAAAAAACATTTAAGTCTGTGATATTTATATTTCACTAGCATATTAAAGTCATTTGCCATTGTTCAATCTAATATTTCCTGCATTTATTTGAACACAGAATCCTTTGTATGCATATAAAAAATCTTGTGGATCAGGGCACCTGGGTAGCTCAGTCACTTTGGCTCAGGTTGCGATCCCAGGCTCCTCGTGGGGAGCCTGCCTCTCCCTCTGCCTACGTCTCTGCCTCTTTCATGAATAAATAAATAAAATCTTTAAAAAAATAATCCTGTGGATCAAAATTTTAGAAACATGGGTTTGTACAATAAAGATATTGTGAGATGGTATTTTAAAATGTGAAATTAAAGTAAGAAATTATTTCACCTGATATTGTTTCCAAAATAGTTTTTGGACCTACCTGAATATCCAATAACATTTCCCAGCCAAGATAAAAGTTTCAAACCAAAATTCTGATGTGCGACAATAGACGAATGCATAACTTGAACTTTGAGTGGCTTTGTCTGTCTACTGGTATTTCTCTTAAAAAGAAATGGCAGAATGAAAAAACAATCTTAAAAAGGCTATCTTATATAAAAAAGCTAATATTTTTACTTAATGTAACTACACTCTCATCATTACAGGATAATTTTTTTTCATGTATAAGAAAAATACCACTTGGCTTGCCTTACTCAGATCCTAATTTGCTAGAAAGAATCTTACAAAAAAAGTAAGGTATAGCTTACGAGTAACTTGAATCTTTGGTCCTATATTTGAAAATCTGCCCTACCAACTAGAAATTATTTAAATGCTTGCATTTGTTTTAGGTCTTTAACTTTTTAAGTGCAATCAAACATTTATTTAAGTAATTTGCTTCACTGCACAGAAATGTTATCAATACTAAAAAAAAAAACCCTTTGTATAATAAACTATAATTTTCAATGTAACCATTTTTAAGTGTACAGTTCAGGAGTGTTAAGTACATCCACACTGTAGTGTGACCAATCTCCAGAACTCTTTTCATCTCATAAAACTCAAACTCTATACCCATTAAACACCATAGATATCATATAAATGGAATCAGGTAGTATTTATCTTTTTTTTTTTTTTTTTTTGGTAACTGGCTTATTTCTCTTAGCATATGTCCTCAAGGTTCATCTACGCTGTAGCATGCATTAAAATTTTCTTCCTTTTTAAGGCTGAATGATATTCTATTGTATATACATATATTTTATTTATCCATTCACCCATCAATAAACATTTGAGTTGCTCCTGTCCTTTGTCTATTATGAATAATAATGCTGCTATGAATATAGGTATACAAATATCTGAGACCGTTTTCAATTCTTTTGTGCATTTATATAGCCACAAGAAAAACTGTTGGATCATATGGTAATTCTTCTTAATTTTTAGAGGAACTACATTACAGTTTTCCATAGTAGCTATATAATTTTACATTCCCACCAGCAGTATGCACAAGGGTTGCAATTTCTCCATATCCTTGCCAACACTTGTGATGCTGTTATGGTTTTCCTTTGTTTATAATAGCCATCCAAGTGGGTATCAGGTGGTATCTCATCATGGTTTTTATTTGCATTTTCCTAATAATTAGTAACATTGAACATGTTTTCATGTGCTTATTGGTAATTTATATACCTTCTTTGAAGAAATGTCTACTTAAGTCTTTCACAATTTTTAATTTTTATTCCCCCTTCTCATTTTTTGTTTGGATCATCTTTTTACCCCCAACTTCATCCCATTCCCATAACCCACATTAACACAGTACATCTTTGCATATTTTCTCTATCTATATATTATATATGTATACATTTATAAAGATTTTTATTTCATTTACAAAAATGGGATACTATACATACTCTTGTGCATCTTTGCGTTAACCGATTTTTTTGGGTTAATGACTCATAATATTCTGTGGTGTGGATTTATTCAAACATCCTCTAGAGAAGGGCACTCATATTCCCTTTGTTTTCGTCTTCTGTGACTACAAAAAAAGCAGCACTGAACATCTTTGTATACACGCTTGCTAGTGCTTACATTTCTATGGGATATATTCTTAGGAAAGGTATAACTTTAATAATAGATGCTACTAAATTATTTCCCCAAATGCTGTAGCAATTTAGTTTTATACAAGTATTCCTATTTTCTGCATCACTGCCAGTAAGGTATTTCATCACTTTAATTTCTCCATCCTGATGAGTATGAAATCTCCCTATCATTTTACCGATTACTAATGAGTGAGTCTTTATGTACACTGACCATGTAGATTTTTCCTGATTCCTAAGTTTTTTCCTGATGATTGCCTTTCCATATCCTATGTCCATTTTTCTATTTAGTTGTTTGTTCCCTACTTGATAATCTATGAGGATTCTGTTTATCATAAGTATTAAATGTCCATTTCTATTTTAGAAATAATTTTGCTAAATCTACTATTTGTCTCTTGGCTTTGTTTATGAAATATTTTGCTATGCTAACTTTTTATGTAGCCAAAAAATACATTTCTTTTTTAACTCCTGGGTTCTAGTATTGGTTAAGAAGCTCTCCTCCTCCCTTAGAATATACCTATAATTTCCTAGATTTTCCTTCTAACTTGTTTCTATTTCTGGACTTCCTTTTCTATTTTATGAATACATAAATGCCACAAAAGATTATAAATTACTACTTTTTAAAAAAAATGAAAAATTGAAATGATACTAAACATAAGAAGTTATAAAGCAACCATATAAGAAAAAAAATACTCCTTTACTCAGATTCATCTATTGCAAACCTTTTATCCCAACTGCTTTATCATTCCAACTTATTTTTCTCTCTCCACACAGATACATATACATGCACTTAAAAAAAAATAGCACTGAGGGTAAGTTATATGCACCATGCATCATTCCTCCTAATTCCTTAATACTTCAGTCTGCATTTCCTAAAATTGGAAATATTCTTTTACTCAACCACAGTATAGTTTCTGGTACATTATTAAGTTGAGTATGTCCAGATATAAAGAAATATTTTTTTAAATAAGACATAAAAAAAGACATAAAATATACAAATCATAAAAAAAAATATTATGGGAAACAATATTTGCAACAAAAGACTACAATTCAGGTTACATAAAGAACCGCTAACAAGAGTAAGAAAAAGAAAACCCCCCAAAATCGGTAAAGGGTATGAATAGGAAATTCACAGAAAACATAAACAAATATGAAAAAGATACTCAAAATTAAGACAATGCAAATTTAATTGATGAGATGCCATTTAAACACATGAAACAGGCAAAAATTTAAAAATCTGAAAACATACAGTTTTGACGAATGGGAACTCTATACACCACTAGTGGGCATGTATACGTTAATGGCACCATTTTGGAGACTAACTCAGCAAAATCTAGTAAAGATGAAAATGCTCATATCCTGACAACTCATAAATTCCATTTCTTGGTATATACCCTAAAGAAACTTTTGCATCTATGCAACAAGGAGACAAAACAATGTCCACAGCAGGACAAAAAAAAAAAATTATTATCCTAATTGTCCATCAGCAGGAGAATGGAAAAATTATGGTAAAGTTATCAATGGAATACTTCACAGGTATATACATCAACACACATAAACCTGGTACCAACAGTGAAATGAAAAGTTGCAGTATAATATATCCAGTATGGATCTTGTTAAGGTTTAGAGGCCTCCAAATCCATATAAATAATGTTGACAGATTTAATAAATGGAAACATAAAGGCACACACAAGAATGAACAAAAGAATTAGTAAAAGTAGTTATCTCTAGGATAGGAGAAAAGAGAATAGGATAAAGAAGGGATAATACAGTCTCTTCTATACTATTTTGTTATGTAAAAGAAGTATGAAGAAAACATATAATGTGAACATATGGGCATTTGCTGTTATCTCTATTTTTATCTGCATATTTAAAATATTTAACAAAAAGCACATTTACATAAAGTGCATTTACATAGGATAATTTATATTAATTCTTACTTTGTAAAATAAATATAAATGTGAGGGATAGTTTTCTTTTAGAGAAATAATACACTAAATACTATTAGTATATGCAGCATACCTTGCTATAAGTTACCAAGAAATAACTTCCCTTGAATTCTAATTGTGGTGCCAAAGGCCAGTTTAATTCCTAAAAAGTAACATGATACCCTATCAAAAACAAAACAAAAATTAAACATTTTCTAAGATGTCTCTGATAGAGAAACAGGAAAGCAGAAAATCTGTATCTCATGGAAACATTCATTTTCTATATTAATCTTACACAGCTTGAACAAACTAAATAGAGCAATAATATAATATTTAAGAAACGTATTATTAAACATGATTTTTGTTGATACTGGCTTTACATTCATGAAGGCAGAAAAAATCTGTTCATAAATGCCAAAATATGCAACTAGTTTCAAACTAATAAAAAAATAATAATTTAGGCTTGTTTTTAAATTACTTACCACAATTACTGATTTTGCTTGTTCACAATACTGGAAATCTCCATATCGAACAGACCTACGTCCCTGGTAAATGAAGATATTTTAAATTAACATGTAAAAATATTAAATTCAGTATTAATAACTTTTCACCCAGTAAACAAATAAACATCTGAGCATATAACAACTCTGGTCAATTTTAATATTTAAAACATTCATTCTATTCAATGATAAAAAATAAAATATTTTCCTTCAAAATCATCCTAACATTTTTAAGCCATTAATAAGTATATTTCCTTAGACAAATAACATTTATTCTTCTAGGTTGCTATAATTTCTACCTTCATAACTGAATATTTCTAATCACTGAGTAGAATGAGAGCAACTGTATCTACATTTCCTGCTAAACTTTCTATCTGACAACAGCTTACATTACATTCCAAAATGTATTTGGGTCAATATGCAAGTGGAAAAAAAAAAGCCTATTCAATTTTCCCAGAATAACTTATCTGTAATAAAAGGTTCAAATTTATTATGTGACATCAATATAATGAAATCACTTACATCTCGATCTACTGTAGTTGCAAAGCCAATGGCTTCTTTTTGTGTACAGTTAACAGCTTTCTGAAGGGTATAAATAACTTGTTCATAAGTATGCACCTCATCATTAAACAGCATGCAATAGTAGGTATCACTCTTCTCTCTGTAGGATAAAACATTAATTATGTATTATCTAATTGCATATTCTCTAGCTCCAGGCTGATTAAGAGCATACTTGCTTCTAGTTCTAGGGAATGTGCTAGGTATTGGGCATATATCTGTGATCTCCATGCTCTATAACACTACCATCTGATGGGGAAGATATATATTAGACATATAATTCTAAATGAACTGGCTTGTATCAAGAAGAATACAATGCCGCAGCAGGGTAAAACAGGTCTGGGACTTCAGAGAAGAACTGCCAGAGAAGTAATCTGAGACTCAAAGTCAGAATTGGCTATCAATGGTTCTCAACTGGAGGCAATTCTCCTCTGTCTCCCATAGATGACCATTTGGCAATGTCTAGAAACATTTTTTGGTGGGAGTGCCACTGGTAAGTGCCAGGGATGCTGCTAAATATTCTACAATCCGCTGGGGCTAGCTCATTTGGAAAAGCACATGACTCTTGATCTTGGGGTCATGTGCTCGAGTCTCACATTGGCTTTTACATTAGAGATTACTAAAATATAAATAAATACAAACAAACAATATTGTACAACCTACTGGACAGTCCCTATAACAAGGAATTAGTCTGGACCCAATAGCTGATCAACCCTGGGCTAGAGGAAGTCCCTGAGGTGGCAAAGCTAAGTAACTAGGAACTGGTACGCAGGGAAAAAGGTCTAGAGAGAGGCAGACATCTTAAAGACTTTTGATTTTACCATCCTACGGGCATTCAATGATTTAAAATAGGAGATACAATCAGATTTGCCTTAAAATTCAGTTTGCTATGGTGTGGAGAATGAATTGTAAGGGGCAAGAGTAGATACGGCAATTTAGTTAGGGAGGCCAGATTGTCAATGATGAAATCAATTAATTTGGACTAGGATAACAGTAATGGAGAGGAACTGAAGTAGAATAATTTGATGGAGAACCACGTGGACTTGAAATCTAAATGAGTATAAATGATTTAAGTTTCTGGGTAGATGGAATGCCATTTACTAGACAGGAAAAGAGTACAAGAGAAGCAAGTTACATTCCTTTCCCTTCTATAATGGTGGCCTTGAACCTATAGTGGAACGGAACAAAAAGATAAAAATAAAACTCTTCTATTCTCTAGGGTCTAAATTTGGATTTTTGATCAATGGTTCCCAACTTGAAGTATAGGCACATCTATAGGCACTTTATAAATACTGTGTTTTTTTTTTTTTTTTTTTTTTTTTTTTACAAATTGAAGGTTGTGGCTACCCTGAGTTAAGGAAGCCTCTTCAATGCCATCTTTCCAACAGCATTTGCTCATGTCATGTCTCTGCATCACATTTTGGTAATTCTTGCAATACTTCTTTTTCATAATTATATTTGATGATCCGTGATCAACGATCTTTTGATGTTATTCTCGTAATTGTTTTGGAACACCAGGAACCACATCCATTTAAGATTGCAAATTTAGGTGTAAATGTTGTATATGTTCTGACTGCTCCACTGACCAACTGTTTCCTGTCTCTCTCCCTTTCCCTGGGCCTCCAAATTCCCTGAGACACAATACTGAAAGTAGGCCAATTAATAACTCTATAGTGGCCTCTAAGTGTTCAAGTGAAAGGAAGAATCAACTGATGTGGCAAACTTTACTGTTGTCTTATTTTAAGAAACTGCCATAGCCACCCCAATCCTCAGCCACTACCACCCTGATCAATCAGCAGCCAACAACATCCAGGCAGGACCCTCCACCAGCAAAAAGATAATGACTCACTGAAATATCAGGTGATGGTTAGCATCTTCTAGCAATAATATATATATATATATATATATATATATATATATATATATATATATATATATATATATTTTAAAGATTTTATTTACTTATTCATGAGAGATACAGAGAGAGAGAGGCAGAGACCCAGGCAGAGGGAGAAGCAGGCTCCATGCAGGGAGCCTGATGTGGGACTCGATCCTGGGACTCCAGGATCACGCCCTGGGCCAAAGGAGGGCACTTAACCACTGAGCCACCCAGGCATCCCGCAATAAAATATTTTTAAGTTAAGGTATGTACTTTGTTTTTTATATACAATGTTATTAGGCTACAGCGTGGTTGTAAACATAACGTTTGTGTGTACTGGGAAACCAAAAAATTCATTTGACTTGCTTTAACTCTACAGTTGTCTAGAAACCAACCTGCAATACCTACAATGTACGCCTGTACGTGCAGATAAATTTATAAGGCACTATTTCAACATTTCCAAAAGAGTATAGTTAATACCTCACTTTATTAAAAAACATTTACCCATGCCTAATTATCTAGAGTACTCATGAAAAAGCAAAAAAGAAACCACTGATTTTCCTCAGACCCTCACTTCAACGTGTAATACGTGTAATCAACTTTAAGTATGAACAGGATTCCAACAAACTTGGTTAGACTTAAAAGTAAAAGAGAAGGTTGCTTGAGGCAAGCACATGACATGGAAAAGTGAGCCCTTAACACAGTTAAGGCGGAATCCAGTTCTTTGGTTACAAGTTTGCCATGTCCTCAATAATCTCAATGCAAATAGTAAAAATATGAGTTACCAAGTTTATCACACAAAGAACAGAAAACTGCCTGTGCCTAAAGGACAGGGCTTAAATAAACTAACCAATGAATAGAGAGAAACCTGTACTAAGTTTATCACACATATTTAAAAACTATAAAATAAGTATTCTTGAAAACTATTTAAAAAGATAGAAAAGGTAAGTCCTATCCTAGCTGTATTAAACTTAATTTGAAGAATTAGGACCAAAATGGTTAAAACAGAGTTTGAGCAAATACGAGCACAAGGATTTGTGTAATAAATGGATTGTACTTACACTATCTCTAAATCTGCTGGCAATTCACTTTCTTTTTCCCAGGTTAGTATCTCCACTGCATATCGAAACATAATAGCAAAAATGTTGTAGGTTCTCGCTATCACATCCTCTGATAAATGGACAAGAGGATCCTGAAAGAACAGAAAAAGAAATTGCAACCATCTTAAATGCACATGAATTCTCTTTCTTATTCTGCCTCTACCCCTCAAGATACTACTGTAAACAGCTTACTGATCTTCCAGCTTTGGCTTGTCTTTATTTTGATCCTGTACATTATATCCTACCAAATCAAGATTCCTAAAACATTTTGTTCAAAATGATCCCAATTAGTGAATCAACTGAAAAGATTCAATGGCACCCCAATGCCTAATGAATAAATTTAAAATTTTTATTTATTTTTAAATTTTTAAAAAGATTTTATTCATTTATTCATGAGAGATACAGAGAGAGAGAGAGGCAAAGACACAGGCAGAGAGAGAAGCAGACTCCATGCAGGAAGCTCAATGCGGGACCTGATCCCGGGTCTCCAGGATCAAGCCCTGGGCCAAAGGCAGGCGCCAAACCGCTGAGCCACCCAGGCATCCCATAAATCTAAAATTTTAGACTGGCATTCCAAGATCATTAACACCTAACATCAAACCATTTTTATGGCTTCCTAGCCTACTAATCCCCAATTTCCAGAATAAACAAAGGAATGTTATCTAAGGACAAACAAGCAATATTTAGTTTTATAGGTATAAAGGAGAGCCTGATTTACAGGACTTTAAAAAGGAGAAACCAGCAAGGTCAGAAAACTGCCCCTTGATGCCATAAGAATCACTCAGGGCATGTCGTATATGTTTGGAATAGGGAACTTTGTACCTTACACTTAACAGGGAGTAAGTCACAAAAAATCTAGGTTAACGTGAAAAAGTATTACTATAAATATACACTAAGTTGGGATGCCTGGGTGGCTCAGCAGTTGAGCGCCGCCTTCATCTCAGGGTGTGATTCTGGAGTTCCGGGATCTAGTCCCACATCGGGCTCCCTGCATGGAACCTGCTTCTCCCTCTGCCTGTGTCTCTGCCTCTCTCTCTCTCTGTCTCTCATGAATAAATAAATAAAATCTTAAACAAATATATATATACACACACACAAAGTTTATTACACCTTTTAAACAAAATGTATTATACAATTTTAACCTTAATGCTTTATCTTAAATCTAAACATACTATTTAGCTTAATGGCTAGATAGTATTACACTCATTTCTCAAACAAGAATCTAATATGAACCTCATGCTACAAAACAGAAATCAGAATCAAAACTCAGTTTCCTTGGTGATATTATCTAGCTATACATTCACTTTTCACAATTACGTCCCATAATACAAGACATTTAGAAAATGACAGAATTACAATAAGCAGAACTTCTAAGAATGAAACAGGTCCTGAAACAGAAACAACTGCCAATTCTTAAGAATTCAAGCCAGTAGTGTTCAAACTCTGTTCTATAAAATTCCTGTTTGAATTACACATCAGTTTAAAAATATAAAATTATCTATTTTAAAATGGTAATGTAAAAATACACCCCAAAATGTGTAATATTACATATTGGGGGATCACCAACTAGTAATTTTGCTATTGGCCTACATTGGCCTAGCTTGGGGCAGGGCTAGGAATACAGATTCTTCTGCTGTCTTTGTACACATATTAACTTCTTGAAAAATGGTCACTGACTAGAAATAATTATTTCTGGGGACCCCTGGGTGGCATAGTCAGTTAAGTATCTGACTCTTGATTTCAGCTCAGGTCATGATCTCAGGGTCATGAGATTGCATCCTCCCCACCCATCAGGCTTCATGCTCATTGTGGAGTCTGCTTAAGATTCTCACTCTCTTCCCTGTGCTCCCCTCACTGGCTCACATGTGTACTCTCTTTAAAAAAATTATTTCTTCTCTATTTCTCTCTCTCTCATGGATAAATAAATAAAATCTTTTAAAAAATTATTTCTGCAGTGAAAGGATGCTAGGCTGTGCAAGTCGACTCATATGTACAATGGTAAATTAAATGCTAAGAAAGACTTCTCAAAGTGCTCTTATGATAGCGTCAGTTAGAATTTGCAAATAAATGATCATCTCATCCTATATTGTATTATCAATTATGATTAATAATTGTAGTTTTGATTACATTTATAGACTGCAAACCTTTGTCAGTCAACTGTGTGTTACTCTTCTTTCAAATTAGAATATTATATGGCATATTACTAAAAAGTTATGTGTGTTTATGTTAGAAGGCAGTAGGAATTATGGATAACTAGTTTTTTATGTGATACACTTGTTTGAATTTTTTTATGTAAGCATATATTGTATTACACTATTTAATCATTGTCATATGCAAATAAGGACTTTCTCCATACTGCCCAACTAGTTTATTACTAGAAACTAATGACATCAAAACCTCACTTATACGTTGACTGTCTAGCAAGTAACTAATACACATTTCCACTTATAAAAGATAAATTTATTAATGCCACTTGTAGTGTCCATTGACAGATGTATAAAGAAGCTGTGGCATATATACACAATGAAATAAAACTCAGCCATAAAAAAGAATAAATCTTGCAATTTGCAACAACATGTATGAATCTACAGGGTATACTGTTATGTGAAATAAGTCAGAGAAAGTAAATACCATATGATTTTACTCATGTGGAATTTAAGAAACAAATGAACAAAGAAAAAGATAAAAAAAGACACTTAAATATAGGAAATCAAACTGATGTTCACCAGAGGGGAGGTGGGGGGGGATGGTTGAAACAGGTGAAGTGGATTAAGAGTATACTTATCCTGATGAGCAGTGAGTGAGGATTGAAATGGTTTATCGCACACTTGAATCTAATATAACACTGTATGCTAATTATGCTGGGATTTAAAAATACCACTTTTATCTGTTTTATTACTGGGGTTTTAAAATTGTAATTTTATTTAAAAAAATTCCACTGCTGAAAATTATTTTAAAAATCAGTGCAATGTAGTAGCATCATCAACAATGGCCAAATTATGTAAAAAGCCCAAATGTCTACTGACTGCTGACTGATGAATGGATGAAGATGTGATGTGTATGTATGTGTATATACACACACACACACCATGGAATATTATTCAGCCATAAAAAAGAATGAAATCTTGCAGTTTCCAACAATGTGAATGGAGCTAGAGTATTATGCTAAGCGAAATAAGTTAGAGAAAGACAAATACCACATGATTTCACTCATCTGTGGAATTTTTTTAAAAGATTTTATTTATTCATGAGAAACAGAGAAAGAGAGGGAAGAGAAAGAGAGAGAGGGTAGAGACACAGGCAGAGGGAAAAGCAGGCTCCATGCAGGGAGCCCGACATGGGATTTGATCCCAAGACTCCAGGATCATGTCCTGGGCCAAATGTGGTGCTAAACTGCTGAGCCACACAGGCTGCCTTCATCTGTAGCATTTAAGAAACAAAGAAATACAGGGGGGAAAAGTGGCAAACCAAGATATGGACTCTTAAGTGGAGAACTGATGGGTTACTGGAGGGGAAGTGGGTGAGGGGATGGGATAAGTAGGTGACAGGGATTAAGGGGTGAACTTTTTGTGATGAGTAATGGGTGTTGTATGTAAGTGATGAATCACTAAAATCTACACCTGAAGCTAATATTACACTGTATGTTAGATAAAAATTTGGAGAAAAAAATAAAATTAGTGCAATGTACTGTTAAAGAGTTCCATTACTGGACCATTAAGACACTATGGGCAAAGAGGACACTTTGGGAAGTTTTTTAATCTCTCTAAAACTCAAGCTTCTGCAGCTACAAAATATTCATAATAGCAGTATTTACCTTATAAGGCTGTTCTGAGAATTAAATGAAGTAAACAAAATATAGTACTTAGCATAATACTTAGCTATCAATGATCAAAAATCTGCATTCGAGATGAAAACAGCATTAAATGAAAATTTCAGATTAAAAGAAAGCCTTCACTGAGGTTGTTCATTCAGTGCATTTGTTACTAAATTAAATTTCATTCCAAAATGGATTTACAGCAACTTAAGAATATATCCAATATAATGAGTATTAAAAATAGATGTACAAAGTGGGCAAAACCAGAATAAAGGTAGGAAAATAAAGTGAAATCAAGATAATATCTGTTTATTTTAAAGACAGGCACTGTTTCTAAACATTTGACTCTGTTTTCCAGAAGCTCCAACAAAAGGAAACACAATTTGTTACCAGACTCATACCAAGAGAAACGTAACATTTCCTAACGCAGAGACCTAAGAGAAAATTTCTTAGAGTTCCTAGGAAGGTTATGAAAGAGGACACTCCAGCCCAAAGGGCCTATTTGGAAACACTGGCTGGGTACTTACTGTTGTCACAATGATGGGAGATGCTATTACCATTTAGTGAGTGGGAAGTAGGTATAATAAACACAATGCTTCTGAGAGTAAATACCTGGGGTCATCCAACTCTTTCTGTGAAGAGTCAGATACTAAGTCTTTTAGTTTTTGTAGACTATATAGGGCTTTGTTGTAGCTATTCAATTTTGCTGTTGTAGTGGAAAAGCAATTTTGGACAGTAACAAAACTAAGCATAGCTGTGTTACAATAAAATTTTGTTTATAGACACCAAAATTTGAATTTCCTTTCATTTTCACATGCCATAGATACCATCCTATTGATTTTTTTCCAAGTATTTAAAAATATAAAAACCATTTTTAGCTTATGGTGGTGCCAGTAACAAGTTGGCCCCTAGGGGGCCATAGTTTGCTGATTCCTGGCCTATACAATAAAAAAAAAAAGTCCCATCCTAAATGCCAAGAGTTGAGAAGACCTATGGAACTGCTAAGCATTATCCCTACAGAATTACATTATGAAGTTTTTCTCAACTTTTTCTTAAGATGCAGGACAGATGTATAATAAAAAAATTACATTCAATAAAAATAATTCTAAAAAAAAGGACATTGCAAATATTATACAACTTTCTTCCATTTCAAGCATAAAATATAAAAAACCTAGGTATATGTACAAATTTAGTGAGTAGGGGCCGGGAAGGCTAAACATAATGCTATTTTAAAAATAGCTTCTCTTACATTCTTATCCTTGAGGACTTCATTTCTCTTAACTGAGTTTTTTTTTTTTAATTTTTATTTATTTATGATAGTCACACACAGAGAGAGAGAGAGAGAGAGAGGCAGAGACACAGGCAGAGGGAGAAGCAGGCTCCATGCACCGGGAGCCCGATGTGGGATTCGATCCCGGGTTTCCAGGATCGCGCCGTGGGCCAAAGGCAGGCGCCAAACCGCTGCGCCACCCAGGGATCCCCCTTAACTGAGTTCTTAAACGGAAATTATATGGCAGTCTGGAGGTTTTGTTTTCTGTCAAGCTGTTGCAGTATGCATTCTCCAGGTAGGACCATATAATTTCACTCAGGCAGGTGATCTTGCTAACCTCTTTCTAAAATTCAGGAAATTAACTCAAGCACGCTCTCTTTGATAGCTACCCCACTAATGGACAAGAATAAAGTCAACAGAATCACTACAAGCAAATTTTCTTAGAAAATTACTTAAGTCTACTCTAAAACAAAGATAAAAAGATAACAAAAGTCCTAAGGTTTTTCTTTTCAAATAATTTATTGAGGTGAAATTCACAGAACATAAACTAAACCATTTTAAAGTAAACTACTTGGTGGTATCTGGTACATTCATAATGTTGTATCACTATTACCTCTATACAATTCCAAAACATTTCAATTATTTCAAAGTAAAACCCCTTAACTATTAAGCAGTTTCTCCCCATTCTCCCTTCCCCCCGCCCTTAGCAATCACTAGTATGTGCTCTGCCTACAGATTTACCTATTCTGGGTATTTTATATAAATGGAATTATACAAAATGTGATCTTTTTATGTCTGGCTTCTTTTACTTAGCATGATTTATAGGTCCATCCAAGTTGTTCCAAGTATCAGTATTTCATTACTTTTTATGTCTGAGTAACACTATATTGTATCTATATACCACAATTCATTTATCTATTCATCCACTGATAGCCATTATGGCTGATACTTATTTGATTACTTGTTTTCAGATCTTTTGGGTATATACCTAAGAGTGAAAATACAGGCTCATATGGCAATTCTACGTTTAATTTTTGTTGATATAGTCAAATTGTTCCATAGCACTGAATCATTTTGCATCTCATTTAGCAATGTACAAGGGCTCCAATTTTTCTATATCCTCATCAACACACACATTCCTTCTTTCTGATTATAGCCATTTTAGTGGGTGTAAAGTTGTTTCAATATTGCTGAACATGTTTTCATGTGTTTGTTGGTCTTTGTATTATATCTTCTTTGGAGATATGTCTATTCAAGTCCTCTGACCATTTTTAATAGCGTTGTTTGTGGCATTGTTGTTGAGTTGTAAGACACATATTCTGGATCCTAGGTTAAGTCCCCCCTTATCCACTGCTTCAGTCACATCCAGGGCAATTGCAGACTGGAAGCTGACAGTCCTTCTTCTGATGTATGGTCAGAAGATCAACAGTAGCCTAACATTATGTCACAATGCCTATGGCATTCACCTCACTTCATCTCATCAAAGTAGGTATTTTATCATCTCAGTACAATATGAGAACAAATAAGTGAGTGCACATTCACCTAAATTTTATTATAATATGTTGTTAGAATTGTCCTATTTTATTACCAGTTATTGTTCATTTCTTGCTGTGTCTAATTTATAAATTAAATTTTATAAGTATGCATGTAAAAAAAAAACAAAAAAACAACAGTATATGTAGTAATCTTGGGTACCATCCATGATTTCAGGCAACAACAGGGGGTCTTGGAACATATCTTCCATGGATAAGGTGGTACTACCGTATGTGATTTGCAAATGTTTTCTTCCACCATTTTACACCAGTTTTTAATTTTTTAAAAAACACAGCTCTTTTTTTTTTTTTTTAAGATTTTTATTTATTTATTAATGAGCGAGAGAGAGCGGCAGAGACACAGGCAGAGGGAGAAGCAGGCTCCATGCGGGGAGCCCGATGTGGGACTCGATCCCAGATCTCCAGGATCAGGCCCTGGGCTGAAGGCGGTGTTAAACTGTTGAGCTACCCAGGCTGCCCTTTTTTTTTTTTTAAAGATCTTAAAAATTTATTTATTAGAGAGAGAGAGTGAGAGAGAGAGAGAGAGAAACACAGCTCTTTTTGTCAAGTATATCCTTGTCTTATTTTGTATTTTTACAAATGGAACTCCAATACAATATATAAAAGAGATAAGAACAGAGCTCCTCCAATAGAAGTGGAGAAAACTGAAACCCTAATTATTGGGCATTTATCTGCTGCAAATCCTAAAATACTTACACAAAGCAAATGAAACACAAGATATGTTTTCCATAGCACTCAATCATTTCACAAAAATTTTAAACTGTCCTAAACACAGTGGAACACAGTCTAAAAGAACTGTCCTATACCATAAAGTCTTGGTCAAATATCTGAGACCTGCAAGGTTATGTGTACCAGGAAGTACTATTAATGTTCACTTGTCCCAAATCTATATTAGACCTACTAACAATGCATAAGTACTTTGAATGCCCCTACCTCTCTGTCATTTAAAAATAAAATCTGAAATAAGGATCTTAAACATCAAACTGTCAGAAATAGTAGCAGAGATTTACATATTTATTGAGTCTACTACATCATTTAAATATCATTTAGAGAAATGCAAAATCAACAATTTTAAAAAGCACATAGTTACAGCTGGAGTGACTAGAATTTGTACTGTCTTTATACTTGGTCCTATCACATATCAATGACACTGCTATGCCAGATGGTGATCAGGATTGGCTACCGTATACTTTCAGAGAAGTATCTAGCTCACAAAATCTTAGTCACAACACAAATACACAAAAGCCAACCAAGTTAACTAATTGCTACAAATAGTAAAAATAACCCTTCAAAGATAAATGAGGACTAAAACTTCAAATAATAAATCCAAATTAAATTAAACCTGCAGAATTTCAAGTGAGTACTACCAACAATGGTATGGCATCTATAAAATGCAAAAAAAGCTTTCAAAGCAGATTTGGTCACTGGTAATAGTGACAAATATTTTGCTTATCCATTTCTCATAACCTAATTCCTATATCTGAAAGTATTTCAAACTCATGGTTAAAATAGTATTTCCTTAAAAACAACTTTGTGAAAATGTCTTTACCTCTTCTTCCTCAATTTCAGAAGTGTTAAGTTCATGTTTTTGACAGTAAGGACCCTCTTTCCAAGCTTCAGTATCACCACAGTCACAGAAACCTCCACCTCCTGATGTTGTCATCTTGAAAAAAAATTGTAAAGTATCTTGTCAATAAGTATTTACTGAGGGCTATAAGATTATAAATAAGAATATCAAGTGCTCAGGAAATAACATTGTTAAAGTGTTTAATTTCTTTGGAGGAGTAAACTTATATAAATGCCAAACCTCTCAATGTTTCAAAGCTTAAATAAGCCTAAGCTAATTTAAACAATTTTGAAATAAGCTACTTTGTAATGTCTAATAAACTACAGTTATTTTAAAGAGGTAAAATGTGTCCACTTATATGACATATGACTTCCTTATTAGGAAAATCATTAGGGTTTCCCTGCTGAGTTTTGGTATAATGTTGATATCAATGCTACCAGGTTATAGCACTCTAATGTAATATAACAGATTTGTTATAAAGATTCCTATAGCTGCTTTCCCCCAGGAGAGTCTAATGAGAGTGCTACATCTACATTAGAGAAAGTGACCACAGAAACTACAGAAATAGTTTTTCTTTTCTAACATCACCTAAATAGCATTCTTTGACAAGGAAAGAAGCTCAGGAAATATAAATGTAAGACTGTCAGGTAAGAAAAAGTTTTCACCACCTGCAGGATTCATGAATTATTCAGACATTAAGATATGGCAATGACTCAAGGAAGCTGGCAAGACAGAACTTATTTAATTATTGGAAATTCTGCTTTAAAAAAAATACTGTGAAAGAGTGTTTAGCAGTGTGTATTTGATGCAAATTTTAGAATGAACCCTATATACTCTGCTCCCCAAAAGTTATTTGTATGTTAGATATCAAAATATAACTAATGTAAACCTACAAATGACAGTTATTCCCAAGGGCTGCAAGGATATAGGTCAACAAACATGGGCAGGCAGCCATTTGGAAAATGATAACCCTACAACTTTTGTGCTTCTTATGGTTACCTAAGACAGGTAGAGCAGCTTAAAGGAAACCGGGATTCTTTTACTGATTTATGAAAATAAAGGGAACATACAAAAATCAAAGGGGTCCAATTTTGTAGCTGTTTTAGTTCATTATTATCAATACTCTAGTAGAATGAAGAAAAACAAACAGGAGGAAAGTCCTGAGCCAACAGGCCTCCTAAATTAATAAGATTGAAATTTCCCTATGATTTCATTTGAGATTAGGGTGCAAAGTTCCAGGTACTAACATTTCCCTAACTTTTGAATGTTCAAGGCTTTATCTTCAATTTCCAGTAGAGGAACCAACCAGGACAGGCTTAGCAATAATCCACCTTTGTATCCTTGATTTAAAAGTAAATATACCTGATTCTTGGAAAAGTACTGACTGCATTATAGCAGTAGAAAAATAATAAAATTGGTGGGTCTCATATTCTGGGGTTGACCCCTCTCCAACTATGTAGATGTTTCTTTAATATTAAGAAATGACAAATCTTCTGTAGAAGATGACCAACTGAGTTATTTCTTAAATGTATAATTCTGACACTTTTCCTTACTCTTTTTTTCCACGTCCTTCCCTTCAGAACCTCCCTCCCAGTTTTACCTCTCACCTTTTCCTCTAATTTTTGATAACCTTCTGCATAAACCTAGAATTATTGAAATAATAAACATAAGGAAGTAACAAACTAGTTGAAAACCAACATGCAGGAACTGGTATCTGTGAGGTCTTTCCTAAACCATGTGTTCAAGAAGTCTGGATTCACGATTCATTCCTACCCTGCTGGTATCATATGTTTAAGTGTTTAAATAACACATTTCTTAAACCACTATCCTCCATTTTAGTGTTAAATCCTGGAATTTAAAAAAGGCAGAAAATATATCTAACATAAAATTTAATAGTGGGTATGGTTATTATCTGGACATTACTAACCCTATATCGATGGTCTCTGTGAATACTTCCCAAAAAGCACTCCATGCACAAAACACAAGTTGGATCAACTGCACAGTCTCTGTAAAGTTAAAGAAAAAAAAATCAGAGTGTCAGAAAATAACTGTGTATTTCACAACATAATATTTCACTCGGAATACACCCAAGAAGAGCCAGAACAGTGAACTGCCTTGGTGTGAGAAGAAAGGAAATAATATTCCCAAATATCTGTCAGATCTTTGAGCAATGAAGTCAGCTTAAGAACCTGCTTCCCATACCACTGGATGTGTATATCTAATACTAGATTTGCGGAAATCACATTTTCATTTCAGTTGTTTCATTTACTTTCATCATAACGCCAATTAGATACGTTTACAGATCATATCTTAAACAAGAGAATTCCTATACTTCCATGAAATGAAACGGTGAGTTACAAAAATCTTTAAATTTCCACTTATCTTAGTTACTGTAACCTCATAAGCAACTATTCTTCTGTGCTTATTCCTGCATGCCATCTAGGTATGTTCTTACAAAATGTTTTTGAGTGCATGTATTTTTAATGTATGTAAATCTTACTGTGTCACATATTTCATTTTGTTACTTTTTCACTTCTGTAACATAATCCATTCATTTTGTATGTATACATCTGATTTGCTTCTAATCGCTATGTAATATGCTATGGCATGTATCCAAAATATTTTCTCTCTTCTCCCTGCACTGGACACCTGAATTATCTCCAATGCCTTTCTACCTATATAATGCTGTAATACACACTGTGTAAATGTTCTCTTACAGATGTGTCTGAGACTTTCTTTGACATATAAACTGAAGAGCAGAATTGTTGGGTCATATACATGTCAACTTCTCAATCTGAATGCCATGCTACTGTCCAGAGTGGCTACATATCACCCACCAGTTTATGAGGGTTTGTATAGCTCAGCATTTTCATTGCATTTGGTTTTACCTATTTTTTTTTTAAGATTTTATTTTTTTATTCATGAGAGAGACAGAGAGTCAGAGATATAGGCAGAAGGAGAAGCAGACTCCCACAGGGAGCCTGATGCAGGACTCAATGCCAGGACCCCAGGATCACAACCTGAGGCTAAGGCAGATGCTCAACCACTGAGCCACCCAGGCGCCCCTATCTAGTTTTCTAATATGTGCAAGGCTAACATATTTGAAATGATATCTTATTATTTTAATTTGCATGTCTCTGATTGCTAATATGTTTATTCAACTCTTCATATGCTTATTGCTTTTGGGTTTCCTCTTCTATATATTGCCCATTTTCCTGCTAGGATTGCTTTATCTTATTTGCACAATCTTAATCTAGCGGATATAATCACTTTGCAATATTAAACATTGCAAATATTGTCTCCCATTTGTCACCTGTATATTAATTTTGTGTTTGGGGTCCTTTGTTAAATAGAACTGCCTATTTTGATGCAATTAAATTCACACACACACACACACACACGCAATTGGTTTGTATTTTAAGGTTTTAAGAAGTTCTTTCCCCAAAATCAGGTCACAAAAATATTCTTTACTTTCTTCTATTAATCTTCTGGTTTTATCTTCCACATTTAGGTGGAGTAGAATATAGTTGTATATGATGTAGAATATTGTAGAATATAGTTTTGTTTCTCAAACATACACTGAACTATTTTTTTCCAACACCATCTACTAAATGATCTACCTTTTATCTATTGGTTGTGGTATCATCTTTATAAAATATTAAAGATGGGTCTTTAATCTCCCTGGTCTAAGCTGTCTAATATGTGTGAGTGATCTATTTGTTCTTACACCATACCACACTATGTTACTATGGCTTTGTAGTATATCTTAATATCTGGCAGGTTAAGTTCCCTTTTATTCTCTTTTTAAAAAATGTTGACTTAGCTATTCACAAACTCTTCTTTATTCGTCCACACATCACTTAGGATAAGTGTACAGAGTCTCTAAAAAATATCCAGCTGAAATTTTGACAGAGATTACTTAGAATTTATTGATAAATTTCAGGAGTAAGAACATTGTCATAAGAGTAAATTATCATGTCCATAATTATTCCTTAAGTCTTCTACTGAAGTTATAAAGTCTTCTTCATATGAATCCTTTATATTCTTGATTAGATTAATAAAGATGTACTCCCTAGATTTTATTTTAAATGATACATATTTAAAAAAAATCCTTATCTAGTTGCCTAAGGATGATGAAAAGAAACAACACCGATTTTTAGTATCTTTGATTAACCAAAGCAGTTCTAATAGTTTGTTGAATTATTTTTCTTCCCAGGTAAATGAATACATAGTCTGCATGTAATGACAATTTTATCTCTTTCCTTACCATATTTACACCTTTTTATTTTTCTTTCTTATACTGTTGACAAGGACCTCCAGAGATATATTAAACAGCAGCAGTAAGAGTAGGCATCCCCACCTTGTTTTAGATATTAAAGAAAAACATATCTAAAAGTTCTCCATTAGTATTATATTCAAAGGTTTACTGATAAAGTGCTTTTCTAGAAAAAAATTAAGCATAATATCGTGCCTTTCCTATATAAACTGCACCTCAAGCTAATCAAAGGACTGAGGAGGGACTGTATTTCTTTTATAAAAGACAAGCTAATAAAGAAAGAAATGATCGGTTAGAATATTTTGCTACCTCCTAATAAAATAATGATCAACAAGCATCGGTGACTGCTAAAACACTGGATAAAAAGGTTAATGAAGACCTTTTTTAATGGTTGCATCTGCATGGTACCTAAACCCACTGATCATCTTAACAAACAAAAAAAACAGAGAAGCATCATGGGCTTCCTGACATGAAGAATTAAGAAGTTACACATCAATATTTATAAAGTATAAACGTAATAATTCAATTATACCTAACTACCTGTTTAGAAGAAACACAGGGAGAAACATGTTAAGCAACACCATGGGGACACAGTAAACAAATCCAGACTGTGGAAAATTCCACAGGACAAATGATCTGGTTTCTTAGCAATATAAATGGAAAAAAGAAGAAAAGAAAAAAAAAGAGGGAGAGGAGCGATTATAGATTAAAAGAATGAGGAATAACAGCCAAATGCAATGTGTGGACTTTGAATTCACATGTATGAGTCAATCAGAACAATTCCATTCAGGCTAGATATTAGATAATGTTAAGGAATCAGTGTTACTTTTTTAGGATGTTAATGGTTGTAGAGGGGGAAAAAAGATGTATTATGAGTAAAAAGGCATACTGCCTAGAATTTGCTTTATTTTTTTTTAAAGATTTATTTTTATTTATTTGTGATAGACACACACACACAGAGAGAGGCAGAGACACAGGCAGAGGGAGAAGCCAACTCCATGCCGGGAGCCCGACGCAGGACTCGATCCCGGGACTCCAGGATCGCGCCCTGGGCCAAAGGCAGGCGCGAAACTGCTGAGCCACCCAGAGATCCCTGGAATTTGCTTTAAAATAACCTGATGGGCACTTGGGTGGCTCACTTGGCTAAGCATCAGACTCTTGATTTTGGTTGAGGTCATGATCTCAGGATCATGAGATTGAGCCCCCGACCCTTTGTGTTAGGACCTGTAGAGGGCAGGGAGCCTGCTTAAGATTTTCTCTTCTCCCCCTCTGTCACCCCCAGCTATCGCTCTTAAGAAAAGTAATCTGGCAGGGCAAGAAAAAAAGTGTGTATGTGTATGAGTATACATAAAAAGAAATGCCATAGGGCAGCCTGGATGGCTCAGTGGTTTAGGGCTGCCTTAGGCCCAGGGCCTGATCCTGGAGTCCCAGGATCCAGTCCCATGTCAGGCTCCCTGCATGGAGCCTGCTCTCCCTCTGCCTGTGTCTCTGCCTCTCTCTGTGTGTCTCTCATGAATAAATAAATAAAATCTTAAGAAATATATATTTTAAAAAAACTTAAAAAAAGCGTTGCTATATATTGCTAATTGCTGAAGCTGAACAATGAGTACATGTCAGATCTATTATACCCTTCACCCTATTTTTAATGTTTGAAGATGTCCATAAGAAAGTTTTTAAAAATCTAACACCCAAATATTCAGTAGTCTGCTAAGAATTTATATCATAAACAATTGTTGAAATTTATAAAATGCTTTCCAGAATCAACTCAGAAAAACATAGTTTTCTTCTCTATTAAAATGGTGAATTACATTAATAATTGTTTTATTTATTTATTTAATTTTATTTTTTTTATTTATGATAGTCACAGAGAGAGAGAGAGAGAGGCAGAGACACAGGCAGAGGGAGAAGCAGGCTCCATGCACCAGGAGCCTGACGTGGGACTCGATCCCGGGTCTCCAGGATCACACCCTGGGCCAAAGGCAGGAGCCAAACCGCTGTGCCACCCAGGGGGATCCTATTTATTTATTTTTAATAATTGTTTTAAAGATGAACTATTTAGATTCCTCAACTAAATTCCATTTGATTATGATGCATCACTTTTAGTATATCCTTGGATTCAGATAGCTAATATTTTATTTAGGATTCTTTCACCTATTATTAATAAAAGAAATGGCTCTAGAATCTCTTAAATTTATCAGGGATTAAAAACAAGATTAGGGCAGCCCCAGTGGCGCAGCAGTTTAGCGCCACCTGCAGCCCGGAGCGTGATCCTGGAGACCCTGGATCGTGTCCCAGGTTGGGCTCCCTGCATGGAGCCTGCTTCTCCCTCTACCTGTGTCTCTACCTCTCTGTCTCTCTGTGTCTCTATGAATAAATAAATAAAATCTTAAAAAAAAAAAAAGATATTAGCCTCATAAAGAGTTATAGCAGTTTCTTTTTTTTTTTAAAGATTTTATTTATTCATGAGACACACAGAGAGAGGCAGAGACCGAGGCAGAGGGAGAATCAGGGTCCCTAAGGGGAGTCCGATGCAGGACTCGATCCCAGGACCCCGGGATCACGATCTGAACCAAAGGCAGATGCTCAATCACTGAGTCATCCAGGCATCCCAATTTTTTCCATTTTCTATAGTAAATTGTGTAAAAGAGGAATTAATTTTCCTTTGAAATTTGGTTGAACTCACCTATAGTCATCCAGGTATGGGATTTGTGGAAGGGAAGATCTTTAATT